TGCCCCCCCCCTCCCCCCCCCCCCGTGTGGGCACTCACGAGATAAAGATGAAGATGAAGGTGCAGGAGAGCAGGACGCGCACCACGGCCATGGCAGTGCCTAGCTGGGCACTGCGCTGGTGCAGCGTGGCCATCACCTCTGCCACTAGATGCTCCCGTGATATGTTTACACCCACCAGCATGTCCTGGTGCTCCTCCTGGCCAGGGTGGGGGTCAGTGCTGGTCTCAGGGCCCCAGGCTCTGCAGAGCCCCTGGGTCTTGTGACCAGGCTCTGGCAGGGGGGACTCCGCACCTGGATGACCAGCTGGGCACTGAAGTCCTGCTGCAGGTGGTTGACAGAGGCGTTCACCTTGTCGTAGGTCTGTCCAAAGTTGCCTTCCACAGGAATGCGGTCCCGGCACCAGATGTAAATCACTGTGGGGGAGGATGGGGTGCCAGGTCTCAACATGGGGCCCCAGCACCCCCCACCCCATGGGGCCCAGCCAGCTGGTGCCTCACCCTTGACAATGTGGCAGAGGAATTTGAACTTCATGGGAAGGCAGAGCAGGTGGCTGATGAGTGGCACCACAATGTGCCGCATGCAGGATTCATGCTTGGTTTCAAACCAGGCCTGGCAGCGCTCAATGGCCTTATCAATCACATCTGCAGGGCAAAGGGTGTTTGCTGGGGCCGGCCCAACCCAGCCCCCTCCTGCTCCCATGTCCCAGGGTGGGCACGGTGCAGTGTGAATTCCCCTTCCAGCCCCTGTGTGTGCCCCGGTCCCTGGCATACACATCGCAGCCCCCCCACTCACACTTGCAGCGCATTCGGGTCTTCATCTCATAGAGTGTCTGGGTGCTGAGGGCATGGCGGGGCAGGTGCCTGCGTGGCTGCTGCAGGTCATAGCCCTCCTCACTGGCCACCTGCTCGTTCAGCCCCGCAAAGGTGCGGGACACATTCTGCGTCTCCTCATTGAGTCTGCGCCCACTCCTCTGCCAGAGACAGGCACGGTGTGATGGGGGCAAAGCAGCTCCATCCCCTGCCAGCCAGAGATGCTTTGGCCCCCGCACTGGGCTCCCTGAGCCCAAGGGGTCCTGTCCCCTCCCTGCTCACCACCATGTCACGCAGCACCATGCGCATGGGAGCTGTGGACACGTGCCAGATCTTCTGGCTGTGGTTGATCTGTAGCTCCACGGTGCAGCCCATGGAGCGCACCACCTCTTCCAGGTTGTGCCACAGGTTGGCGATGGGGCCTGGGGGTGCCAAGATCACTGCCATGGGTACAAGGCGGGCAGGGAGCGTGGCACCTGGAGGGCCTTGTGTGGGTGTCCTTACCATCATAGACAGCGGCCAGGACAAAGGTGAGCACATAGAGCCGCCCCTCCTTGCCCAGGAACTTGGGGACAAGGAGGAGGCTGGTGCAGCGGAAGTGCGGCGAGATGCCCCAACCCAGGGCACTGATGCCTGTGGTGGGAGCAGATCAGAGCTGGGGGTGTCCCTCTCTGTCCCCTCTCAGGGCCCATTGGAGGCCCCAGCACAGCAGCCAAGAGCACTGAACCCCACGTCCCACCCCACAGGGTATCAGTGCGCCAGGGACCCCCATGCCTGGGGCAGCCCCCACCATAGCACTCACCTGCCAGTCCGTACATCAGCTGGACCTTGTGGCTCTCCTTAATGCTCATGGGTACGATGAGGACCTGGGAGAGGCCTGGGCCAAGAGCCAGGAGCTGGGATCCCCACCCTATCCTGGGTGACAGCCCCCACCTCCCTCCAGCACATGGCTGTCCTGCCCTGTGCCCATCCCCATGGCATCAGGGCAGTGTCCCCCAAGAGCTGAGGGACGACCGCCACCTATCCCAGCCTTGCCTCCCCAACCCGTACCCACAGGCCTTCAGCCCCACACTGCCCTCATGCCCTAGGCAGACTGACCTAGGGCGAGGCAGCCCCCAATGCTGGCGCCCAGCAGGAACTTGCTGGGGCGGAACTGATCCGGGTGGCTCCAGAGGAAGCAGGCACAGCAGGCGGGAAGCAAGCGGCACACGGCACGCTTCAAGGCTGTGTGCATGGGGGGTCAGTGCTGGGGCCCCCACTCCAGGGCTGAGGTGGGGGGTTGGGGGAGAGTACTGACTTGTATTGGGTGGTTTCCGCCTTGGCCTTCCTGATGCGGCTGGCAATGCCATGGTGCTACGTGGCCAGTGATGCTGTCTCCCGGCAACAGGCCATGATGCCACATGCGTGGAACCTGCCCCATTGTGATGTGGTGCAGGAGCAGCCCCACACCCAGCACCAGCTGTGCCCACTACCTGTGCCAGCTCCCTCACCCTGCCCCAGCCCCACAGGTGCCAACGCTGAGCTGGCAGGAGCCAGTGGGATGGTGCCAGCCTGGAGCTGGGGGAGCCAAGGCAGGGAGGCCTCTGGGGCAGCTGCTGTGGGGCTTGGTCCCAGCTGCCCCTCATCTCTCCCACCCCAGGCCTTGCTGCAGAGCAGAAACCGATGCCACGACGCTGCCACATGGGTCTGGTCTCCCGCCTCCGCAGGGCCCTGGTGCCCAGGGGTCGGGGAGCAGGCAGGCGCCAGTGGCCCAGGGACCCAGTGGAGGAGAGCCTGGTGCGCAGCGTGGTGCGCAGCATGGGTGGCTTCCTCTTGGGCATGGCCCTGGCCAGCTTGTATGGGGCCATGGTGCTGCTGGCACAGAGCTACAGCATCTGGTACTGCCTGGCCTCTACCGTCAGCCTGGGCATGGGACTGGGGCTGGGCATGGCCTTCTCTAGCAAGGTGCGGCTTACTGTGCTGCTGAGCCTGCCCCATGTCTTCTCCAGTAAGCGCCACAAGGCCCTGTGCCCACCCCCAACCACACACGGGGTTGGCCTCATGCTGCAGAACTGCCCTGGCAGGCACATGGGCCAGCCCCTACCCCAGCCTGCAGTGAGTCCTGCACGGCCCTGGCACTGCACCCTGCACCCCCTGCTCCCATCTAGAGGACCCTGGGCTTGGCACAGGCCTGGGCCCACCCCTGCCTTTCACTCACCTGGTACCTCCCACCCATGCCCTGCAGAGGAGGCAAAGGGGCTGCTGCTGGTGCTGGCGATGGGCATGGCCATGCAGGGTCCCTGTGCCAACATTGTGCGTAACTTCACCCGTGCCAGCGAGGCTGTGTCATGCGGCGCCGAGCTCGCTCTCAACCAAACAGCCGAGATGCTACAGCGGGCACGGGAGCCACTGCTCAGTGAGTCCCGGGGGTCTGCATGGAACAGGGACCTGTGGGACCCCCCCCAGGGTGCAACCAGCCCCTGCAGGGCACTCATGTGCTGCCCTCCCAGGTGCGCTGAACAAGATCAAGGCTATCGCCCAGAAGGCCAAGGTGGTGGGAGACCGCGTGCGCAAGTTCTTCCACTCTGTCATGGACTCAGTGCGGCATGTTGGTGAGTGGGGGCCGCCCCAGGGCCCATGCCTGTGGCCTAGCCAGCCCCCACCCTGACCCAATGCACTGCCTGCAGCCCGGGTCCTGCGCAACGTGTGGCGCTGGCTGCTGGGCATAGGTGAGCTCTGCAACCAGGAGCTGGGCACACCATACCGCCGCTGCCTGCGGGTCTTCGATGATGCCAAGGACCGGTGCGAGCGTGCCATCCCCGCCCTCTACTTCCTCTGCTACATTGTCCTCGTCTTCAAGCCCCTTTGTGGCATGGCCAACCGTGAGTGTGGGGTAGCCCGGGCGGGCTCAGGGCAGGGGATGGCAGGGCTGGTGCAGGTCTGGGGCACGAGACCCCTGACAGAACCCGACTGCCCGCAGTGCTGCTCGTCTTCTGTATCATCCCCCGGTACATCCAGCCCTTCCTGCGCAAGAGAGTTGCTGCCCGTGAGTGCCAGGCCCTGCAGTGAGGGAGGGACCCTGCCCCCTGGGGGTCCTCAAGTGTGGCGGAGGAGAGCACACAGATACAGCAGGGGTCCGGGGCAGGGGCAGGTGGATCTCCCTGTGACTGCCCTGCCCTCCCCCGGGGTCACTCCATCCCTGACACCCTCCTGCCCCAGCTGTGCTGAAGG